TATATTCGCATATGTACATGTAATTGTTATTTTATATGGTAGATGTATGTATATGGATATGCATTTGCAAATGTACGTACATGTACTTTTATGTATATGTATGTATATCTATATACATATATATATGTGGAATCTTCAAACTAAACCCCCCTAAAATTCGTACGTATATGGATATCTATATGTATTTATATGTATTACATGTATATGCCTATGTATGTATATGTACATATATATGTTTTATGTATGTGTGTAAGTGTGTAAATGTATATGTATATGTATATGTATGTATTATGTATACGGATATTTATGTAAATCTATGAATTTGTCTACGTGTGTAATTGTATGTGTATTCCGTAGTCCACAAGGAACTTATTGTGGCCGTGCTGTTTTACACGCTCAGGTGTGCCTGAGGATTATGTGATGTGTGTGTGTTCGTGTCATCATATCACTCTACTTTCCACCAGTTTTGTATGGTCTTTGTAACGTAAATTTATTTTTTGTGCTTGTGCATAGAATGTCTATGCTAACCTATGCACAATGCGTTACCAGACGCGGAGCTATTTTTGTCTGTTAGTGCTCCTTATATCATCCGCAGCTACATATAAGGCGTTTACCCTCGCATATAAATGAAATTGAAATCAATAGCAACTTCCGGTGTTAATTCACTTGTGTTCGGATACGTTTATTCTATCCCGTTACTACCCTTGCTCAATGGTGATTGCTCACAACCATACAGATTGTTGACGCAAGCCCATCCATCGACTCTGTGCACACCACACTTTTAGATATAGCGAAAACAACGATAGACAGAGCAGCCAAATCTCCACTGCAGAGGCTCCAGTGGTAATCAAAAGTAAATTAACTTAAAAACGTTCACCTTTATACCTTCTCCAGTATCAACCATTCCTTTCGTGCCCCGTTGCACATGCTTGTCATTGGAAATTGTTGGGATAACTTTGTTATATACTGCAAGATTGCCAGGATACTTTGGATGATGAATAATAGTATGACCACATAACAATAAACCCCTAAAACCTTAAAACCTAGTTGAGCAGGTGTATAATTCAGAATGCTATGAAGCAGGCCTTATTACGAATTGGTGCAGTGTGCCAATTATTGTAAGGTTGCAAGGAACCGATTTAAAGGGAGTTTTAGGGTATTAGGGTTACAAATATTTAAAGCAAGAACCCAAAAATTGTGACAAGTGGTTTGTGACGCATTGCATAAAGTTCAGTTCGTTGCAGACACGAGTAAAATAGCTCCCCGTCCTCGTAGATTCTCACTATGGCAGAGACTCGAGATTTTTGGTTCCCTTGTCATCCATGATATGATATGATACAAATAAGTCTTAGCGATAAGATCGGTGAAGTTGTTTAGTCGCGAGCGTTATAAACGAATACGAGAGATAAAAACCGCCGATTCAGCAATCGAGATATTTAATAAATAAAAAATCCTTAAAAGTCTCGACTGACACGGCTCACAATAAATATTTCAAGCCGACTTCTTTCATCTGAATATTCATCCATACTAGTCAATACTTTGACTCGTCTTTTTCATCGCGCTATATCAAAATTACTCGTTTTTTCTTATGAAAATTGAAGTTTTGGCGAGCCTTTCTCTGACTGAGAACTAGTCATCCGAATACCTGATGCTAATGCGCAAGTCTCTTGTAGTCCACGCCTCAGTTTTGCACTGCGACGATATGACATTATGTAGTCTACCAGGTAGGCCAGCTTGCAACTAACGTATTGCGTATACAACGCAGAAAGACCATCTGTCTGTCAAAGCCCAAAATCAATGTTTTCCGTAGTATTAATAGCAACAAACGACGGTTGTTGGGATCTGGTCAGCGTACGTGTCACCAAGTCCGTAATAGCAGACGACTCATTGGGCACAATCATACTCAAACCAAAATGGACAAATATATATATGTTTGTAACCATAGTGATACATAGGCCCACCTCATCGCACCAAACACTTACTTTTTTAAACAGGCAGCCGTTACCATACTACCCATATAGGATACTGGGTTCGTCAGTCGCTATTTCTTTAACTAAACCTAACCACTAAAGATCTAATGTGGATATTAAAGCGATGTCTTGAAGTCAATTCAGTCATCACCCGTGTGTGTGACAACTTTAAACCTGAATTGCAAGTCCCGGCACAGTCGGTATATTGTGGATTGAAATCCTTTCGCTCAGCACTCGGCCAAATAAAGGAGTGTCATTCCCAAACGGTACACCTATTGCACTCTATGGGACAATGAAAAATATACACGCAAGTAAAAGTGGACCAGCCCTTAGATACTTATCTTCACAGAAAGGTTCTTGCTTCCAAACCAGTAGAACCTTCTCACCCTAGGAGTTAAACAGTTGTAAACTGATAACCTTGATTGACTAATATATGTGTATATAGTATTTCTAAACATACACGTGCGTGAAAGCTGATTTCCAGGAATAAACGCACATATGTATTGGGCATGAATATGACACACAAGGTGACAATGTACATTATGTAGATAAACTTTAAACTCCAACTGCTTTTTCTGTGCAGGTCCATCACCAATTTTTGTTATCTTCACACCGTCGTCACTACAATAATGATGTTTACTTTCATGTCGAGGGTCTAAGCCACAATACATTTTATTCAGTTAGCACTATGACCTTGCCGCTATAGACAGGTCGTTGAGGCTAACTAACCAGTGCGATGTGGTTAAACAAGAATTAGTTATGTTCTGTCTGCGGTTTTCATGCGTCTGGCCCTCGAAAGTACTGCGTGGATCGCACAGTCAAAATCTCGTCCGACAGTGTTGGGGCAATTTGCGGCATTCTACTGGTATCGCGTTGCCTTTTTTCTCGATTTTGCACATTGTCGTTCATTTCTATGTTGCAAAGATACGTTATTTACAGCAAACAATTTGTTTGCATATAAATCATCTTACAACCGCTACAAATGTCCGAGCTCTCACTTCAGCTTTTCTTCGAGTCAAGGACATGTGTCTCTCGGCATAGGTTTATCATTGAATGCGAACAACTTTGTCCAGAGTGAGTCTTTCGAAAGATTTTAGTCGGCTTTAGAGGTATAGGGTTTCAAAACAGCTGCGTAATGTAATGTCCGCTAAATAAGTATCTCCCAAGTATTCTTACGCTCGATATGAAAATAGGTAAGCGAATTGGTGAAGGGGTGCCTCATTACAACACTCAGACTAGGCACTACTTAACCGGTCCGTAGTTGCGAGTTTATCATCTACATGTTTTTATTTAAGCATTCTACTACGAGGCTGTTTTAGCAGTGCTACATTTATCAGCGTTTTTGTATCAGAATGTATTCTTCGTTTGAATTTCTATCATATGCAGTACACGATGTATAGCGTACGGTATACGGCGATATACGTCAGGCCGATATATTCATCACTGTAATACTGTATTATCCCCACCACTCATATAAGAACCGCTTTTCACTTCTATTTCACCCTCTTGGTATTGCCAGCCGCTGCAGTGTAATTCTGCGTCCAGGTATCTTTTTCACTTGGCAATGCTATTATAGTATTTTATGGGAAGAAATTTACTATATGTGTATTATCACATCGATGGCATCATGGCCAGGACTTGTTCGTATTGTGATCTAAACGTTCCTACTTCTGACCTTTACTTGGTCTCAGTTGTGCCCAGCTTTGCACCCCCTATTTTTTGCTGTCAATGTATATTGTCTTGTGCAGCGTTAGGCTATTTTGGGCAGATGTGCTGTGTCACACGTGGCTACTATATGTATAAGCCATGTTTCCTTAGACATGAGAAAATAAACTATGAGTACCTATAATTCCTCGGAAAACCTCACCGCCCTATTTGCTTTGACCGTGTCCTTCTCAGTTCAAAGGTTTTTGCAAAGAGTCATACTTTCCGTCAATGTTGTTTATGCATCTCGTCATCCATATTGTCATAAATTTATTTATCTTGTGACTTCGTACGATCGAAGTAGGTTTCAATTTTCATCATACAGCAGACCGATGATCACACAATCAACATATGCTATTGCTAAGCAACTTGTAGGCCAGCAGATATTTGTGATTGTTGTATGGACCTTTGTTTCGCGCATGTTGGCAATTATACGATGCACTTGTATCGTAAACTTACAGACATACGATGCTCGTCGCAAGCTTGTGAATGCGTTCGGACTTTGGGTAGGATTCACACAAGTTATTTTGTCTGTGAAGACAATGTGCATTGTAAATAGCCATGGCGAAAAGTGTCTAGACGAGCTATAAAAAATAAGTGTTGGCGTGTTGGCGATTCAGATAGACTCATTGATTTTTGTATGAATGGTGCGACGAATCTATATCATTGTTCCCTAATATCTAATTTGTACAGTATTACATAGAACCATGATCCTTTATTCCCAACATTACTTCCATAGCTAGAACAATCCAAAGAGTTTCTAGGCAAACTATAATAGGAACACCGTGGTGTCACTTCTTCCTGTACTTTTTTTGGCATATGTGAAATACTTGATGACACCAAAAGGAAATCGATTCCATTTCCACTAACCGTGTTTCATATTAAAGCCAACCCTCCTATTGGACTAAATTCAAGAATCAGAACACTTCCTGTCTGACTGCAGGAACAAATACACAACCTGTTTTGGCTTCTTGGGCCTTCTCTACAGAAAAAATAAAATAAAATTGATACTTGTATCGAGAGACCGCGCTGACAGATTGTTAGGACCAATTTTGATATATTCTCCACGAGCATTATATATTCCGAATCAAACCTCACATCAATACAAGTTGCATCTCGACTGTACAACGCTACTATGTATTGTGCTTAAGATCAACCGACAAGGCCACATCAACTACCCGTATCATAATTACAATTGAAATATCATGCCTTAGACTGCGTGCAATTCGGAGACAACTCAGACAATTAAGATATCACACCGAGAGCGTCGCCGTTTGAATTTGCGCTTGTGGAGCAGATACAAGTTTCCATATGTCATTACCAGGCCAATGCCAGACATCGTACACGCCTCAACGCCTTCTAAGGCATAAGTTACACCATAGAGCTGACGGATCTTTACAACAACAAATGGGTGTGTTTTTCTAGCAGAAGTGAAAGTTCGTATTCGGGTAACATAATATATATATAAATGTAGCGTCTCAGAATATTTGCTTCTATAACACAATTGTAATTGTGATGATCAAGGTATAAAGAATGGAGAAACGGTCCACGAAGTGTTTAGCTTTTAATTTAATTTATTTATTTGGGGCGACCTATGCGTAATAACTAGGGGAAACCAGCATATCAGTTAATACAGACAACTGGTCGTCAGTAAATTGGCTTTTAAGTGTGTGCCAGTTGTCCTGATGTGTCCGCCGGAAGTCCGATAGCGTTGTTTTGACTGTGCTCTGTGTAATACCATGGGCAAAGGATACGGAATGACAGAGATTACACCAGTTGCAGGAAATAAATCGGCACGCGAAACCAAAATTCATAGTTAACCCCAAAACCTGAAAATAAAAATCGGACACAAGCAGCACAATGCTAAAAATAAATAAACGTGATATTTACACCGAAATTAAAAAGAATCACTGCACACGCAGTACACTGACCGCCTCACATCTTAAGCCCACGATCAAATCTGTTCCATTAATTTCCAAACTATCGGAATAAGGCATCGATCGCAGTGGATATTAAACATCTAAATAGAGCGTTACAACAGCAGACATTGCATTGCCTCAGAGCTCAAGGCACATACTCGGATGGGTTCGGGGTCAGCAATGTGGTCTCCAAGCTCACACAACAACTCGGGCACAAAGGCTGGCAGTTTATAGGGATACGCCAGTATGCACGCCGACATTCCCAACACCCCCCCATGCCGGGTGATGAAGTCAAGGGACCGTACCCCTCCACCGCCGGCACTGTGCAGCGACTGACTGCTGTTGGATCGAGTGGTTTGGGTCATTGTGCTGAGTGAGGCGCTGCTACTGTTTCCGTTGGTGCCGTTGAGGTTGCGTTTGGGTAAGGGTGTGTCGGCCATTTCTCCGAACTTTTGGTTGAGCTCATCCACCTTCATTCGCCCGTCACACCTGAGGTATGTAGGGTTTAGGGTTCGGAACATATGCGGGATGTTGGTTTGGATCCTTGACAGAAGGAATATTGAATTGCGGACGCCCTACGCACTATCCAGTTATCAAAACCAGTCGATAAGATTAATCAATCGGACCAGTCATGAGAATAGGTTTAATGACCAAGACGCACATGGCACAGCTAAGAATATCATAAAGCACACGTGCCGTCCGCACCAATGATTCTGTGGCAAAGCGCCGTATAGTATTAGGAAGTAGGGTTTACTAAAAACCCTAAACCGAATTCTCAATATACTCTACACGAACGCTTGTACTCAAAGAGTCGTTCGATGTCCGAGAGAGCACATCACGGTCACCTGCCAGCGCAGTCTGCTGCACAACACACAGCCACGTAGTACTGAACGATACATGCAGCGTAACATCACAGACCCAGACACTCTGATGAAAACCCTAGTTGAAACGATCCGTAAACCGATCGTGCTACTTCCTTCAAGTAAAGCTGCTGATTGATTATGATGTTTAAAATCTACAGCATGTGTGTCAATTTTTACGAATATACCTACATTCTATTCTGTGGCACTTACATTCAGCTACTGAGCATTCACGAGAAATCTCATACACACACACACACACAGAGAGAATATATATATATATATATATATATATCGTGTATACCTTAGTAATCCGCCAATGGTATCGGCCGCAGCAGACCTGACCTCCACCTGCACATCAATCAGTAGCTGTGTCAGCAACACCCCCACCACACGATCCAGCAGCGTCTGGTCTAAGTGGAACAGATTGCGGAACACCAGCGACTGCAGCGTATGCACAATGCTCAGTCGCGATCGCCACTTGTGCGCCTGTGCCTGGTCACACAGCGTGTGTACTACCACGGCTAAGTCCTTCGGCATGTACTTGGTGTTGGCTATGTAGTGGATGCAGCTTTTGGCCAGGATGAGTACCTTTTCGTCGTGGCCTTGGTCCATGACTGTCAACAGCGTCTCCATGATGAGAGGGATGCTCTCTAGCAGTGCGTAGACACACCCCGAGTGGAACTGCAGCGTGAGCCACGTCAGTACTGTGGGGAGTACGGGCGAGGACGGGGGGGATGTGTTAGGTATAGGTGTATGTGCATACACACCCAGATGATATATATATATATACTTATGTTGTATGTATGTATATACACATACAAATAGTATATGTATACGTAAGTTGTATGTACATACAATTCTGGATATTATATATAAATATACATATTCCAGATACAGTACAGGGTTGGTGAACTACTCATACACACAATGAGGCACCACACCAAACAGCCCACACATTAAGAGACTACCACACCAAACTACCCACACATTAAGAGACGCACTACGGGAAAACGATGGCCACACCAAACAAACTGGTAGCCCAGGCGGAGTGCATGGAGTGTCAAATACGTCATCCTAAACCCTAAACCCTTTATTGACGATGCAACTCAGCTAACCGTAGAACCCTGAAACCCTAAACACGCACCGCACCGTACCTGTTTTGAGACGCTGTTCTGACTCGGGAGTGCCTTCGTCCAGTGATACTTCCTCTTCTACTGAATGAGGGAAGGGTCACTGGTTAGTACAACTGCCACATATGCACACCCGTGTATATAACAAATGAGCACACACGTGTATAACACATGAACATGCACGAGACAAGTACATTCATGGCACGGTCTAAATCCATCGCCAATTGATCCAAGGATGAAACCCTAAACCTTAAAACAAGGGGTGTGGGGAAGACGACTCGCAAGTTACCACAGTCGCTATACGTTAAATGTGTGCCTATACGTTAATTAATACAAGGCATTGCCTATTAGCCTTAAAAGAGTCATAGTTACCGCAGTCGCTATAAGTTAAATGTGTGCCTATACGTTAATAAATAAAAGGCATTGCCCATTAGCCTTTAGGGGGTCATAGTTACCGCAGTCGCTATAAGTTAAATGTGTGCCTATACGTTAATTAATACAAGGCATTGCCCATTAGCCTTTAGGGGGTCATAGTTACCGCAGTCGCTATAAGTTAAATGTGTGCCTATACATTAATTAATACAAGGCATTGCCCATTAGCCTTAAGGGGGTCACAGTTACTGCAGTCGCTATAAGTTAAATGTGTGCCTATACGTTAATTAATACAAGGCATTGCCCATTAGCCTTAAGGAGGTCATGGTCGCATAGTCCCTCAACACAGCGCAAATAGTTACGACACGAGTAGACCACCCACACACAATCAATCGCATGCCCACGCATGGGACAACATCAGCCCAACAGACCCCCTACTAAACCAACAGATGGTAGACGTTCACATACACTCTCAGC